GAACGCAAACATAAACATCTACTTGAATTAACTAGGACTATGTTGATAGATTCTTCTATTCCTGGGAATTTTTGGGTGGATGCTCTTTATACCGCTACTTTCATTATAAACCGCTTACCTACACCTATTTTGAACGGACTTACACCTTATGAAAAGCTTTTTAATAAAGTTCCAGATTATAATTTTTTGCGTGTGTTTGGTTGTTCATTCTTTCCTAATTTTATTGCTGCCTCTCACAATAAACTCTCACCACGCTCCACACATTTTGTATTTATTGGGTATGCACCTGGCTATAAAGGGTACCGATGTCTCTCTCCATCTACGGGTCATGTCTATGTTAGTAGGGATGTAATCTTTCATGAAAATGAATTCCCATATTTGAAACTAATCACCAAACCTGTTGCCCCAGACCCTGACCTTAGTTTCCCCTGGTTATCCACCTCTGTTCAACAGCAGCCCACGCCCTCAGGTTCATCCACCTTGTCCCTCACATAACTATCAGACCATGACACCGTGCCTCTTTCACCCGCACACCAACGGCCCCCAGGTCAGCACACACCCACGGTCAGTCCTTCCCAGTCACCAACGCAGCCCTCTTCCCCAACCACATCCTCATCTCCCTTGTTGACCAGCCCACCCGAAACTCCACCACCCACTTCGTCACCTCTGCCCAGTCCGACACCTAGCTCTTACGCAACACCGGTCTCTCATGTCCCCCGGCCAAACATACATCCCATGATAACACGAGCCAAGGCAGGTATTTTTAAACCTAAAACAATTTTAAATTTGAGTGCCTTTTCTCTCCCGGATGATCCCACATGTTTTACACAAGCAAATAAACACGTTGTTTGGCGGGCTGCCATGGCTGATGAATTTAATGCATTAATTGCTAACAAGACATGGGATTTAGTACCTTGGGATCACACTAAAAATGTGGTAGGGTGTAAGTGGATTTATAAGACGAAATATTTTTCTGATGGGTCTGTTGAGCGTCACAAAGCTCGTCTTGTTGCTTAGGGTTTCAAATAGCAGACTGGAATTGATTTTACTGAAACTTTTAGCTCTGTTGTTAAACCCACCACTGTTCGTCTTGTTTTATCTGTTGCGGTGTCGTTAGGATGGTCTGTTCGTCAACTTGATGTGAAAAATGCATTCTTACATGGTTATCTCACTGAGGATGTCTATATGTGTCAGCCTTCGGGCTTTGTTCATCCATCCTTTCCTAACCATGTTTGTCGATTATGTAAGGCACTTTACGGTCTTAAACAGGCCCCTCGTGCATGGTTTCATAGATTTAGTGGTTTTTTACTCAATCGTGGTTTTACTCAGAGTAAATCTGACTCATCCATGTTCATATATCGATCTTCCTCACAGGTTTTGTACATTCTGTTATATGTTGATGATATATTAATTACAGGGTCTTCTGTTTCTTTTGTCAAGTCCATCATTCATACTCTGTCCCTTCAATTTGCCATGAAAGATTTGGGGGATATTCATTATTTTTTGGGGATTCAGGCACAACGCACGCCAAAGGGGCTCTTCCTTTCTCAGGCCAAATATATATCTGATTTATTGCGTCGTTTTCATCTCCATATTGTTAAGCCTGTTCGTACACCATTACTTTCTCGCACTACCCTCTCTCTCACAGATGGGGAACTCTTAACTGATGTTACTGAGTATCGTAGTATGGTAGGTGCTTTACACTACTTGACTATTACTAGACCTGACATTACATATGATGTTCATCTGGTATCTCAGTTTATGCATGCTCCACGCACCTCACATTTGTTGACTGTCAAAAGAATTTACAGGTATTTGCAGGGCACTTCTACTCATGGACTCTGGCTGCGGTCCGATAAGCACATCTCAGTCATTGTGGCCTATTCTGATGCTGATTGGGCAGGGTGTCCAGATAGCTCTCGCTCTACCACTGGTTATGCTGTGTTTTTAGGAAATAATTTGATATCTTGGCGGTCCAAGAAGCAACCCACCGTGTCCAAATCCTCCACAGAAGCTGAGTATCGGGCCATTGCTTATATTGTTCAGGATACTATGGTTATTCGCTCGTTACTTGCGGATATGGGCATCTTTATCTCCGCACCAGTTCAGCTGTACTGTGATAATGTTTCTGCTTCTTACCTGGCTGTGAATCCTATTCAGCATGATCGCAGCAAGCACATTAAAATAGATTATCATTTTGTTCGTGAGCGCGTGGCACATGGAGATCTTCAAATTAAATATATACTTACTCAGTTCCAGCTTGCAGATATTTTTACTAAAAATTTATCTAGTCAACGTTTTGAATTTTTACATTTCAATCTGCGCGTTGTTTCCCTTGCACAGATTGAGAGGGGTAATAATGTAATAGTCTAGGGACTTCTGTGTAAATGCTCTTAACCCTGTTTTATTATAAATACATGACCACGGCACCCAATAGGGTAAGCCATTATTTTCCCAAAACTATTCTTTCGTATAAAGAGTTGCGCAAGGCAGGGGAGAAAGAGAGTCGCGCAAGACTAGGGAGAAAGAGAGTCGCACAAGTAGACAGGGAGAAAGAGAGTCCCACAAGTAGCAAGGCCTAGAATATTTTGTCTAATTGAAATTTAGTGATATTTTTATCCATCAAAAGACCATGAATAATATTTTTACCATTTTTTCCAAAGTATACTATCAAAAGTTTTGTATTTTTTAAACTTAGCGATAATTATTCTATTAACTCCTATATTTAGTGGATATTCTTTTAACAACCATGTTGCATGTACATGCTAGTGTACATACGTAGTATTAAGTCATTTTACACATCACACAAACAATTTTTGTATTTGTAACACGAACAGTTTTTTTTTTTGTCAGCGCAATAAACCATTCTCTACCAATTTGAAGAAAAAAAAAATCTACCTAAATGATTTGACAAGAGTGTAAAAATGACATTTCTCTTCTTTTAAAGAAAAACACCCATAAGAATCCCACTAAACTGCGACACAATGACGGAGGAAAAACTATTAGCAACGTAAGGCAGATATTTTATGGGTCCCATCACGATATGGAGATCTCATTCTCGTGCAAAGAACGTAATTCCGCAATTTAAATACTTTTGCTTAATGTGTCTTATGTGCTCGTATTCGATTTTAAGCAACAATAATTTGTTTAAAAGATAATTACCAAAGACCATGTTTACAACAAGGCTTGCCGAGCCACATTTGTTTCTTAAATTATTATCTTCCATTTTGCTGAACTTTATTTTTCTGTAATTGATTAAAGAATATATTCCTTTTTAACCTGTAGACGAATGATCCATTAGTCTATTCCTTGTTTGACTAGTATATGGTGTTCGATTAGATGACTAGCATTTGAAGATTAGTTTTTCGATCTTATATTCATGTAATTAATCAAATGTCGTTACATTCACTTATTTAAATTTAAAAAATAATTATTATTTTGAGTATTACTTTTTTATTGGATTCAAATGGGGCATGGGTGATTTGCTACATACCGGAAATGGGGGTATACCTATTTTAAAAGAGATAAATAACAAATATGCCAAGGAGTATATATAAACTCCATAATAAATTCGGAATATGTTTTACCCTCAAAAAATGCAAAATTGTAACAAATTCACCATTTAACTATACATATTAGAGAGCGTATATATATATATACTCCTTAACTATGGCCTTAACTATGGGACATAAAAGATACGGGATACATGTTTATTTATCTAATGTATAGTTAAATGTATAGTTTATTTTGGTCGTCCCAAAATAAACTTTCATTTTTCCTTTTCGGTAAAAAATTTGTGATTCACAGCAATTTTTACACATTTTTTTCTCCTCTGCGCAATCCTCCATCACACAATACTCTCTATCTTAATCCTCGTGCCATGTGTACTATTGAAGAAAATTTAGGGACGAAGGGAGTGCATTGCTACACTCTCTGTCTCCATTTAAACTCCTTGATTTGAATAACACTATTTGAAGAGAATAAACATTTTCCTTAATTTGAATAGCGCACCACTATGACATTTTTGAAACATTCTTGGTGTACACAAATTGTACACTGCTTGTGAACACATGTATTTTGGCATAAAATTTCGTCAATTTTCAAACGAATTGTCTATGTACATAAGGAACTAAGGGGTTGTATACAATTTGTGTACTAATAATTTTGTGTACAACAAGAACTTTCGACATTTTTTGACTTTGTTTGACACTCCGGAGTCATTATTTCTTAAGAGTATTATAAATATAAATTTGTTTACTAAATAAGAAAAGATGATTTTGTTTAGGGACATCTAAAAAGGAAAGCAAGAAGTTCTTTAAAAATGAAGGGTATATTTGTTTTAATTTTACTATTTTGGGAATGCAATTGATAGAAGAAAAGTTGAGAGGTACATTTGTTCTACAAGGAAGTATATGTTCTCTTTCCCTATTTAATAATCAAAAGATTGGCAACTGGGCAGAGAGAAAGAATCAATTGCATCGGCAGAGAGAGGTCGTAGGAACAAGTAGCAGGGTGCATGAGTTGAAATAAAGCTAATAAAGTGCTTCAACTTTTAATTTTGTTCACCAGATGAGACTTATACTACGACCAAGCCAAACCATCCCTTTAGAATATGGTCTTCCTGCTACTGAGGAGTGCATATGACTAGTCTTTGAAATATGATTCCAACCCGCACGGTTAACTCAGTTGTCTGAATGATGAAAAAGTTGTAACATTGATCAATGATCGAAACCTGCAACGACCCTTGTGGAAATTAGAGTTCATGTGTGGTGGGCTAGACATTTGGTGCTCACAGGTACAAAGTTAGTCATCGAGACTTACATACTCCCAAATATCTTGTCGGGTCAAGCATGGGAGGCTATGAGATTGGGGATCCAACCTTTTTTGGAACAATGAAATATGATTCCAAGCTAAGGTTTGCTAGCTAGCTGTTAATTGCTCCCTCCTTTTGCAACCATTATATATACTGTACAAGCTGCAAAGGGATCATTGTGTCTAAATTATACTACTAGCTAACTAGCTAAAACTTACCAAGTGTATAGTTATATACTCAATTAGTTTTCTTTCTTAATTGATCAGTCCTTTTCATAGTATATTTATGGCTGCAGCAAATTGCAGTAGTAGAAAAGTAGTCATGGGGATGGGTAGTTTTGGGTTAATGTTAGTTTTTGTGTTACTGCTCTCCCATGATGTTGGAATTGAGGTGGTGGAGGGACGGCAGTTAATAAGGTCAAAGGTGCGGTGTAAAGAACAACGTTGTTCTTCTTCAGAGGAGGCGCCGCCGCATGAAAAGAGCAGTGAGCTAAATTATAATGTGAGTAGTAGTAAGCTGTCGGTCGGCGGGTTTGGTCGCTCCTCATCCGATGTGGTGGCGGCTGGCGGCGGCAAAAAGGTTGTGTACACATTAGATGCTTTCCGACCCACGTCACCAGGGCACAGTCCCGGCATGGGTCATTAATATTTAATTGCATTCAGAATTTCAGATCATGTAGTTTGTATACAGTACTACGTATTTTATATTATTTGTTTAGTAATGTAAATTGTTACTATACACACATATAAGTAGATATGTCATATGTATGTGTGTGTTTTAAATTCAAGCACTGGTTGTAATTAGCTATTTCGCTTCAATGTAATATGTAATATAAAACTGTAATCTGTTTTAAGTTTTTCATTTGTCTAACAAATATGATAATATTACATTCTGATTTCTGATTCCCGATGTGGTGCAAGTGTGAAAAGATGCAACATAGTAGTAGTCAAAGGTGGAACAGTGGAAATGTGGAATATCACTTTAGCGGCATTGGTTTCAGGTCGATTATTGAGCAATTAAGAGGAATAATAATTTGAGAAATGCTACTTGTGCACACTCAGTTACACACGCTGGTTTACACGCTTAACTGTAATTATATGTGCACGGACAATTGATCCTTAAATTGTCTATGTATAGACAATTTATTTTTTGAAGTCACAAACATTTCTCTTTAATAAAATTAAAATTAAATGTCTGTGCACGGGCAATTACACTTGGACGTGTAAACCGGTGTGTAACTGAGCGTGTACATGTAGCATTTCTCTAATCATTTTTATTCCTAGAGAATTTGGGGGTGTTAATAAGAAATAGTCACATTTGACCTAAAATGTCAAATGTGAAAATAGAGAGTAATATGTACTCCGTGTGTCCATGTTTAACTTTCACTAAACTTTTCACATTTAAAAAAAAATGTGTCTTCAACTCTTACACAATTTGGGATTAGGGATGGACCCGGGCCGGTCTGGTTCCGGTTCCGGGCCGGGCCCGGGCGGGCTTTTTTTTGCAAAATGTTGGGCCCGGAACCGGCCCGGGTTGATACCGGGTCCGGGCCTAACCGGATCGGGCCCGAGTCAAGTTCAATTTTTTTTTTGGGTTTCTAATTAACACCCGACCCCCCCCCCCCTTCACCCCTACCCCCCAACCCCCCCCCCCCCCAAAACACCCAACCCTAACCTAGAAAAGCAAAAAAAATTGAAGAAAAAAAATTGAACCGGACCCAGCCCGAACCGCCCGGGACGGTTCACCAAAAGTTGGGCCCGAGCCCGGCCCGCCCAAACGACCAACCGGTCCCGGTCCGGTCCGGTCCCAAACAGTAACGGGCCGGACCGGTTCCGGGTCGGGCCGGGCCGGTTTAGTCCATCCCTATTTGGGATGTAGCAAACATTAAAGAAGAAAGATGTAAAAAAGAGAGAGGTGGTCAAATTGAGTATCTACTCCGCAACCTTTCTATAACTCAATTGTGAAGTTTAGATCGACGAAATTTAACATTAGATGATACAAATTACAAATCGACATCTTACGTTTTTTTGTACACTTTTATTATCTATTATCGTTCTCTTTTCACTGAATTTAATTTGTATGATGATTTGAAACAGCTTGTTTAATCTGTTCATAGGCATGGACTCAGGTCCGGGCCGGCGGGTCAGAAATGGTGGACCCGGGACCTGCCCAGGTAACCACCGGGTCCGGGCCGGGCCGGGCCCATTAAATTTTTTTTTTTCTTTTCCTCTTCCTAATTAACCCCCCTCCCACCCCCAACCCCCCAAACCACCCCAAATGGCCCAAAATAACCAGCCCAACCCGAAAATTTAAAAAAAATTGAAAAAAAAAAGTTTTTGGCCCGAACCGGGCCCGGGCCCGGCCGGGTCGGACCTTGTTTTGGGTGACCCGAGCCCAGACCGGAAAACCCACGGGCCGGGCCTACCCGAACCAGTCACTGACCGGGCCACCGGGTCGGGCCACCCGGCCCGAGTCCATCCTTATCTGTTCATATCCAGTTTTCATTAAACCTAGCCTCGTCTTGTTAAGTTTGGTGTTGAGCGAATTTTATTAATAATAAAAAAAAATTACAAAAAAAAAAAATTGAAAGGATTTCATTTTATATTTGAGAAAGATGCGAGTTAACATTAATAATTAATAATAATGTATTAATAACAATACAATCAGCATAGTTTCAAACCAACCCACATGAAAAAATGACCAATTTACCAAATACGGAGTATGAAAAGATTAGATACGACTAAATCGCCCCAAACCGCCCAGAACAAAACAGGAAAACAGGCAAGGTCGCTGTGTCGGACCAACATAAAATAAAATAATTATTGTTATTACGAAGTACTGGTAGAACTTCATAAATTGAGTGAAACTAATAGTAAAGCACAATAGCGAAATGTGGCAAAACGAATGGTATGTAATGGGGGATGGGGAATATTAATAAAATAAGAAAAAAAATACTATAAAAATACAGAAAATCAAAACATGCACTCCCCAGTCCCAGCCAATTGATTTATATATATATATGCTATACACACTACTACACCGAGTTTTCACTTCGGTCAAACAAAGTACAAACACTTCCCATATATGTATTCCTCAGCCAAAGGGGGAGGGAACGGCTGCTACAAGAGCATCTGACCTTTTAATACTGCCCATACCACAGATAATGCATCCGGGTGTAGATAGAGCAGAGAATTTGGCCCCACAGAGATCACAAACATCATATCCAATGGTTGATAAACGGCCAAGAGTGGCTGCACAAAATTGAGAAGGATCTTCTAGTGGATCGATTGACTTGTTGGATAAGCCTCTTTGGACACAAACATCAATCAGGCTTCGGAGCTCATCTTGTTTGCTTAGAGGCGCCTTGGACAGCAGCAGCTCAAGCATCTGTTTGGCATAACCATAGTTCTGAACATCCATGTTCCTCTTGATGGCTGTCCGGATGCAATTTATTCTGTGCTTAGCCAGAAGTGGCAAAGAACCTAAGTGACGTGCTAATCTTGCCATTTCATCTTTAGCACTTATTGCACTACTAGTGCCTTGGACTTTCTGCAGCCGGTTGATTTCCTGTTTAATGCCAAAAACCACATTGATCATTTGTGGAAATCTCCATTGACATAGCATCACATGAAACATACACACTATGGATCTGTGTGGTTGGTGTAGCTAAAAGTTCAAGCTATGGGTCTGTAGATATTTTCCCTTAGACCCTGATAAATTCCCATAGTGCTAAGCCAATGTTCATCACCTAGGGGCTTCGTGTAGTGCTTTTTTAGAATACTGGCCAAGGTTAGGATCTACTATCTAGAGCTAGATTTGAAGTTGCTGAACTAGAAATGCTAACTGAATGAAGTACACCCATTTGACAAAAAAGATGAGCTCGAAATAAATGTAACATAATATCAAAAGACATAGATTTCACTGTGCAACAACTTCTTGAATAAATTACAGAGGAAAATATTTTATACCAGTCTACAAATATTAGGTTAATTTCTGTATTTTTTTCAACTCCATTTCATGCCAGTCCTACACATCAAACAAAGTTATTGTTGCACTAGAGAGAGCTAGATTCGGAGGATCTCAGTCCATAATGGAGTGAACTGGAATGCCAAACATAAATTAGCTCTTGAGGAGCTGATTTATGTTGAAACTTGAAAGACGTAAAAGGCATTCCATATATTGATTATAAACGGATAAAAGGATTTCCAAACGTATGCCGGTTCAAAAAGTCTTTCTCGAAACTTGAAATGGGAACACATTAATTGGTCCTTATCATCATGAGCCCATAGGAAATCAGAAACATTCATGGATAAAGTATGTTCTTTTGTAAAACGATAATGCTATAAGTGGGAAACAGATGATATTGTAGGAGCTTATTTCTGAAGAAATACTGCAGGAGATAGCATTTCAAATAAGGGATTATTTTAAGCATGTACGGAGTAATATGTTTAGCAAACAGGTCTAATAGCTTATTTGAAGCTTAAAATAAGTCATAAGCAGCTCCAAAATACATGAAAGCAGCAGTGAGCAAGTAACCAAACAAGCATTTATAAGCCAAAATGGCAAAATCAACGCTTGATTTCATTGCAGGTTGGCATCAGACATAATCAGTAATCCTAGACACCGTACCTGAAGAAGAGTGACTGCAATTTTGTATTGGGCGCATATTGTTCCTTGAGCTTTGATGTCAACTCCACGAGATTGATCCTTAGCCAATGCCAAGAAGGCTTCATCAAAGCAGGATAATGCATCTGGAAGCTGATTCTGCTCAAGATGCGCAAGTCCAGTCTTGAAGCAAACTGAAGCAGCAGCTCCACGAGGAACCTGTCAGGGAAAAAAAGTAAAACCATGCTATGGGACATGAAAAAAGAGAGTTCAAAAAGGATAAAAAAAAAGGCTAAATGGGGGCCTAAAACAACTCATTTCTCAACATTATAAATTTGTAGGTCTCATATACATGCTTTTTTAGGGGTCCTATACATACTTTTTTGAATACAGAACCATACCAAGTGTACAGATGGAGTGTAACGAAAAACACTATGAGGAGTACTTTTAAGGGAAATGGATCAACTTGAAGGAGCGCTTTAACAGCAAGCCATAACGTAAGACAAAATCAGATGAGCAGTAGTTTCTGTAGGCAGACTAGTCATAACTTTTACATCCTGCTGTCTAACATTAATCACCAATCAAGCTTGCAAAAAAAGATACTCCCTCCGTCCCGGAATTATCTTCATTCTTTCTTTTTCGCTCTGTCCCAAATTTATCTCTTTTTTCCTTTTTTGGCAAAGAATTTGTGGTTCACAACCATTCTTACACATTTCTCTTTCCTCTGCACAACTCTCCACCACACATTTCCCACTATATTAACACCCGTGCCCAGTCAAATAAGGAGATAATTCCGGGACGGAGGTAGTATTTTTTAGGGGGACTCTTTTAAGGCGGGTGCAGTAATTCTCACAACTATGATCTATGATGTAATGCTTAATATTCTCATATGAAGCAGGAGTATGATTGAGCAACCTTAGCAAGCTCAACATACTCAAATATATTGATAGAGAGCGGGAAGAGCATGGGGAGGAACCGAGCTTGGGCCCACTTTCGTGGGCCGGGTTAGGGCTGTCTTTATAGTTTATTTATTATTATTAAGTTAATGTTATGTTTTGGTTTGGGCCTTTTATTAGTAGAGTTAGTAAGGGCCTAATTAGGATTTAATTAATTTGGGCTTGATTAGTTTTTCTTTTAGAAGGCTATTTATACCCCTCGCCAGGGTTCATTCTTATTATCTTGGAATAAAATTGGAGTTTAGCCTTTTGGCTCTGGGCAATGGTATTTTTATGGTTGATTATCTAGGCAACGG